TTGGCCTGGCGCTCCATAGGCTGGTTTCCCCAAAGCCTCTGGCTAAGGCAGCCTTTCCTGAATTATTCCACAGGTGAGGAGCCAAAGGGCTGCCAATTCCTTGAGGCTCACACCACCAAACACAGGCAAAGGGCATGAGGCTTCCACAGCAAAAGGCTCACTGATGTCAGACCTTCATAAAATGCCAACTACAAGAGTCATTTACATATTTAAAAAGGGTGGCATCAGGGCAGTTATGAATAAACAAGTACAGTTTTGTAAAAAAACAAAAACCCTAATAATTTTATTTAAATTATATACTTCCAATGATATCAAGCGTCTCTAAAAATAACTAGTTTTAAAATTAAATCTGAACACGAGCATGTACGGTAAATGTCTACAATCACAGAACTGTAGAGTTGGAAGGGATCCCAAGGGTCATCTAGCCCAACCCCTTGCAGTGCAGGAATCTCAGCTAAAGCACCCATGACAGGTGGCCACCCAACTTCTGCTTAAAAACCTTCAAGGAAGAGGAGTCCCCCACCTCCCAAGGGAGACCATTCCACTGCCAAACAGCTCCTACTGTCCCAGTTCTTTCTGGAGTTCACTTGAAATTGGCTTTCTTGTAACTTGAATCCATTGGTTTTGGTCCTCCCCCCCAGAACATTCAAAAACAAGCTTGTTCCACCTTCCATATTTAGATATTTGAAAATGGCTATCGTATCTCCTCTCACATCTCCCCTTTTCCAAGCTAAACATACCCAACTCCATCAACTGTTCCTCCGAAGGCGGCTTCCAGACCCTCCACTGCACATTCCAGATTGTCAATATGCTTCTCAAATTGTGGTGCCCAGAACTGGACACAGTAGTACTCCAGGTGTGGTGTGACTAAGGCAGAATAGAGTGCTACTATTACTTCCCTTGATCTGGACACTAGACTTCTGTTGATGCAGCCTAGAATTGTTTTAGCCTTTTTTCGCTGCTGCATCACCCTGTTGACTCGTGTTAAGCTGGTGGTCCACTAAGATCCCTAGGTCCTTTCCACACATACTACTGGCAAGCCACGTGTCCCCCATGTTTTATTTGTGCAGTTGGTTCTTCCTGTCTAAGTACAGCAGCCTACTGAAATTCAGGCTTTCCGATCTGTTACGGTCCTCGTGAATCCGGATTCTGTCTTCTGCCCCTCCCAGTTTGGTGTCATCTGCAAATATGAGCATCACCTCAATTCCTTCATCCAAAACCTTTACAATCACTGGGATAGAAAGGTTAGGAGGCAAATGGCTTCTGGGACCTGGTTTATGGGCACCAAAACAGAATCTGTGGGGGTCAGCAACACTTTTTATTTATTATTTTGATAAGCATGAATTAATATGCAATTCACATAAGTGACACATTGTTAATATCACATTTATAGCAGAAATTGTTAATACATGCTTAATGGTGTTGAAAAATATTGACACCATACTTCCCGTTTTCTAAACACTCTACTATTTATTTTAAAACTCCATAACATATAGTCTATACTTAACATATACTTCGAGCCTTCAAAGCACATACATTTCAGTAATCCTTGAGTGTCAACCAGGTGCAAAAAATGGCGCCCGGACTTTTGGAGGTGCTCGCAAATGGAGAACCTTTAGATGCAAAATGCACCTGCAGCCCTGGTAATTTCGAATTCTGCTTAGAACAACAGGTCCAGGAAAGAAACCTTTGGCACCCAACTTTTTCCAGGATGATGAGGAATCATTAGTGACCACCCTTTGGCTTTGGGCAGGCAACCAGCTACAAACAGTTACTTCGTCCAGCCCAGATTTTACCAGCTTCGCCACAAGAATATCATGGGGGACTTTGTCAAAAGCCTTACTGAAATCGAGATACACTACACCCACAGCATTTCCCTGATCCACCAAGCTTGCAACTCCATCAAAAAATAATGAGACTGGTTTGGCATAACTGGTTTTTTGAGAACCCCATGCTGAGTAATCACAGCATCCTTTTCTAGGTGCTCACAGACCATCTTTATAATAATCTGTTCCAGAAACTTTCCTAATATCATTGTCAAGCTCACCAGTCAGTAGTTACCTGGATCTTCTATTTCCCCCTTTTTGAAGATAAGGACAACATTTGCCTGCCTCCAGTCTAACATTTGCCTGCCTCCAGTTTCCAAGAATTCTCAAAGATGATAGACCAGAGGTACATGAGTACATGAGTACATTCTACTCATGTAAAAACTCCAGGCAGGCCCCACAAATAACCCAGAGATGCATTTTAAATAAAAGGGCACATTCTACTCATGTAAAAACATGCTGATTCCCAGACTGTCCGCAGGCCAGATTGAGAAGGCAATTGGGCCACATCCGGCCCACGGGCCTTAGGTTGCCTACCCGTTATAGACAGGGGCTCTAAGATTACATCCACAAGATCACATCTACTCTAGGGCTGGGCTATATCTGGTTTTCAATATCATGATATATTGCCAGCTAAACATTGTGATATCTCAATATATCATGATGTCTGAAATAAGGCTAGAGCTTATAATAATCTGGGGAAATATTGGGGGCGGATCTAAATTTGATGTGTATAATTAAATGAAAATTTACTCAGTGATAGCATGCTTAACTAAACCATTAAAGTTTTCTGGGGAATATATTGCTGTTCTGTTAAGGGCTTTATATACCCATAGCAACACCTTGAACGTGGCCCCGTAACAAATTGGGAACTGGTGTAGATCAGTGTTAGAAAGCCAGGTATACAATTTAGGTGCCACATGGCGCCTGAAAACTGGGTTACTGGTGGCCATCCAACCTCTTCTTAAAAACCTCCAAGGAAGGAGAGTCCACCATCTACCAAGGGAATCCTTTCCACTGTCGAATAGCTCCTACTGTCAGAAAGTTCTTCCTGTTGTTTAGTCAGAATCTCCTTTTTCGTCACTTGAAGCCATTCACTTTGATCCTGCCACCTCCAGAGCAGGAGAAAATATGCTGCCTCCATCTTCCATGTGACGCCCCACCAGATACTGGAAGGTGGCTACCCTGTCTCCTCTCAGTCTCCTCTTTTCCATACCCAGCTCCCTCAGCCATTCCTCGTAAGGGAGGGATCGGCCATACTGTCAGGGTCAAGGAGCCCCATCATCAAGGTGCAGCCACTGAGCAGCAGGCCCCCTTCCAGGCGGGACCCAGAGATGGGCTTCCTCCTGATCTCACAGAGAAGGCAGACCCCCAATTGTTCCCAAACCTCAGCCGCACAATTCTATAAAAGTAACGGCCAATGTGTTGAATTGTGACTAAAAGCAGATCAGCAAACCCTTGAACTGTCCGTCTCTTACAAATGAATCCATTTCCATGGAATCTGTTTATCTAAGTAAAAAAAAATGGAGGCAAAAAGAGGAAACTTTATGAAGTCAAGCATCATAAACATGCCATGCCATGTGCAAACTGTGACTATTTAGATACTGGCAGCCAAATAGCACACACATCTACCACATCTCTCTCTTTCCTGCCAGTGAGTACCAGCTCTTATTTCTGGACAGCCTTCCAGTGAGTGATCTTGCAGCAAGTCCTTGCGTGGGTATCAAGAGACAAACAGAAATCCTTGATTTCACAATTGCTCCCCTTTCTTAACACATATCTATAGAGCAAAACACACGTGGGCTGCATGAGTAATTTTTGTCCCATCTGCTGGATTGAGGCTGGAGTGGCTTATGTGATGGAGAATTTGAATGGGTTTTATTTATTTGGGTTTTTTTGTATTACTGATTTCAAAATAAACAGCCAACTTTATACAAGTGACTCTGGATAAAACTCCTAGATGTTATAAAGGTGCCACAGAATTTGACTTGGAAGGGACCCCCAAGGATCACCTACAATCCCCTCCAAAGAATAATCACAGCTGAATAATGTACTTAATAACTACTATAAATAGTAGTCATAGCAACTGTTTAAGAAGCGTATGAACTGCAATGTAAAAGACTGACTTAAATATTTCCTTGGAAGCTTCCAGAGGAAGCTGGGAGAAGACTGAAACATCAAGTTGCCGAGGCCCTTCTCTCTGAAATTCCAGACTCTTTACCTGAAGCATCCCTGAAAGGTGTCGATTCAGTCTTTCCTTGAATACCTCCAAAAAGGAGCTGTCAAACATCATTGTGCCACAGAAAGACGGAAGAGGACAGAAACCCGTTTCCTTCGGTATGAAACAGGCGTGTGGGAGGAGACTGTTGCCCAAAATAACCCAACAAAAACCCCAGTTTCAGCAACAGAACCCTAAATGCGAAAAGTCCTCCTTTGCAGCTGCCACTCAGTGCATTCTAGAGGCGGAAATAGGCCAAGAGACCCTGAGAGAGGCAGCGAGAGGCCGCCAAGAGGAGGGGAGCCCGAGAGGGGAAAGCAGCAGGTTCACCTGCTCGACCTGCAGAGAGCTGCCTTTCTCGGGCCACGATCTACCTGATGACTCAGGGACCAGGAAGCAGAAGAAGAGATGCAGCGCCTAGTCGGGACCCCAAGCCCCCTTGGCCAGAACTGGGGCTCCACCATCCCGGCCCCGAGCATCTCCCCCTCGGCGCTCGGCCCCTTCCCAGCCAAACATTCGCGCAGCGGGAGCTGCTGGGGGGGCTTCTCACTTGATCTGCATCCGGCGCAGCCTCCCACGTGGGCGCTGCGCCTGCCAAGCTCGCATTCTCACGTGCACCTGCGTGCAGCTGCCGCCCCGGGGGGGGGGGGCCGTCCGGCGGGCCGAGCACACCAACCCGCGGCCCGAGGCGGCTGCTCCCGGGAGACGGGCAGCCGGCTTGCCTTCGTTGGCAGGAGAGGGCGGCGAGGAGGGGCCGGGCCTGCCGCTTCCGTCCCCCGGGTGCGCGGCGCAGGCCCTTCCGCCCCCGCCCGGCGGCCCCCGGGCAGCCTCTCCAGCTCCCGTCCCGGCCGGGGCTCCGACTGGGCCGAGGGAGCGCGGCGGCCTCCCCGGGAGCCTGGCGGGCCCGGTCTGCTGGGGGCTCCGCGGGGCCTCGGCTCCCCCCCCGCCCGACTCACCGCGCTTCCCGTGCGCGAAGGCCACCACCACGAAGTAGTCGGCCAGGCGGGCCATGGCCAGGCGCGCGAGGGCGGCGTGCGGGGGCGCGAGGGCGCCGGGGCTCATCCCCGCCCGGCCGCGCCGCCTCCCGCCGCTGCCGCCGCCTCCTCAGACGCCGCCGCCGCCGCCATCTTGCCTGGGCGGCGGGATGCGACCCAGCCCGGGCCGCCCCAGCCAATGCGCGGGGCCCGGCGGCCGGGGAGGCTGCCCATTGGTCCTCCGCGGGGCCAGAGCCCGCCCCTTCCTTCCTCCGGCCCTGAGGGGCGGGGCCTCGCCGCCCGCCCGCCCGCCCCGGGTCCCTCCGCCGCCGGCTCTCTGGAGACGCGGCCTCCGACGGAGGGGTCCGCGGGGTCTCTCTGCCCGCCCGCTTCCCTCCCGGAGCTTGCGCCCTCTCGGTCGAGCAGGGCCGGATTGAGGTGGGATGTGGCCCTCCGCTCCTGAAGGTAATGGTCGCTGTTTTTTGGGTTGAATATATGCTATATGGTCATTGATGGACGTCGTAGGTATCTCAAGCCATTTGCACATTACAAAATATGTACCCATCACAGGAGCCTACAAAACACTATTGCTGTATAGATGTTTTATTTTATTTTGTTTTTATCTTATATTTTGGAAATGTACGTCCAGGTTTTTTTTCTTTACATTTTTTTGGGGCCCTACAGCACACCTAGAGCTTGATTAGCTTATACGTAAATCCAGCACTGGCTGTGGCCAAAGCAGCTTACAACAAACAGCATTGGAAAATGCAAAATAAAGAACTTGCCAATAAATTAAAAAATGGCAAAAGACTACAATTTGGCTATCAAAGAATTACGTATATAAACAACTTAGGCTTAAGTGCAGGAAAACTTTGCTTCATGTACACAGCTGGGCACATTCCTGAGTCCTCCCCATGGCACTCTAAAATGGGCCTTTTCGCTAAGTTGTCAGGAACATGAGAAGAGCCTGGCTGCTGGATCAGGCCCAACGGAGCCCATCTAGTCCAGCATCCCCTTCTCACAATGCCAACCAGACGCCCAATGGGGAGCCCAGCAGCAGCAGCAGCAGCAACTCTCCCCTCCTGCCGTTTCCAGCTTCTTGGGACCAGAAGCCCGGCTGCCTCTGACTGGGGAGGCAGAGTGTGGCCCTCGGGACCAGTAGCCATTTGAGAGCCAGGATTAGGACTGATGTTTCAGACTTCCCAAGGACCCACCGATTTAGGCGGTTGGGCTTGACGTGACCTCCTCTTCAGCTGCACAAGTTCTGTAGCCTCGCAGCCCCCCCCCCAGCCCTCTGGCCTTTCTGCTGGTCTGTCTTCTGTTGGGCTCCTGGATGTGCTCATCCCCCAGGGCCCCCTCCCCAGAAAGATAGCCTTTAGCCTTGTACATCATCAAATTAAATGCGATCAGAAGTGCCTGGGGAAGCCCAGTGTTGTCCTGGGCCAGGGGCATAAAGCTCAACTTACCTTTTCCTTCCAAGTGTTGCCCTAGAACGCTTTGTCCTAAAATCCTCTCTGATTTGCAAAAGAGACTTAACCTTTGCATGCAGTAGGGCAAGAAGTCCAGGGTCAATACAAAGGACCACATGCAAAAGTGTTAGCAGAGGGTGAGGAATACTAAATGTGTGTTGACACTACGAGGCTTTCAGTGTGTCTCTTTTCCATTGTGCAACATATGCAAGGTGGAAGGCTAAAACCATGTGTCTCTACGGAACTTGGCCTTTGCTTCGACCTGAGGGTCTCCGTTTTTGCCAGCCGCCTTCCGGAGCCTGGATCACTTTCAGATCCCTTCCTGGAGGGCCACTTGCCAGATTTAGAAGAACAGAGAGCAGGCAAGACCGAGCTCCCAGCCTCTCCGCTTCTGCCAACACTGAGTCAGCCACTGTTCTTTGATGCCTCCCAGTGTTGTCGGCTGAAGGGTTAGGAGGCAGGTGAGCTGGCTGCAAATCCTCCTTGCATTCTGCACACAATCCAACTGGAAGAGAACCAGCTGCCAGACAAAAGAAAGTCTTGAGAGGTTGGTGATGCCTGCTCATTTCTACGAGATTCCCCTGGGAGACGGAGAGGCTTAGATTAGTCAGGGGGAGGGAAAGGCAGGTGCTGTGGGGGGCGGCTGCCGGTCTTGAGTCCTGGACGCATCTGTTTCGCAGCAAACCCCACTGCCTTCAGGATGCTGACTCCCAGGTGAGGCACCCTCAACTGTTGGACTCAGTGTCAGCCTAGGTTAGGAGAAGCTTACTAAAATGGGTCACTGCTTATATACTCAAACAAAACAAACAAACAAACCATAACAGCAGCAGGAAGTTTTGGCAGCACACCAACAGCAAAAAGATCATCATCAGCCTGGGGAGAAATGTGACTTTTTACCTGACACCAAAAAGATGTCAGTGTCGGTGCCAGGTGGCCCTCACTGGGGAGAGCATCAAACAGGCAGGAGGCGTGGCTGAGGAAGCCCTTCTCTTCTCCTTCAATAATAATAATAATAATAAATTTTATTTATATCCCGCCCTCCCCAGCCGAAGCTGGGCTCAGGGCGGCTAACAACAATCAAAATAGTCCGACATTCTAAAACATTCATTATAAAATTAATTAAATCAAATTAAAATCAAATTAATGGCAACCATCAAGCAAAATTCTGTGCAGATTGCCGGTTGCCAGAGGAGGGGGTCAGGCTGCGCCCTGACCAAAGGCCTGGTGGAACAGCTCTGTCTTGCAGGCCCTGCGGAAGGATGTCAGGTCCTGCAGGGCCCTAGTCTCTTGTGACAGAGTGTTCCACCAGATTGGAGCCGCGGCCGAGAAGGCCCTGGCTCTAGTTGAGGCCAGCCTAACCTCTCTGTGGCCTGGGATCTTTAGGATGTTTTTATTTGCAGACCGTAAATTTCTCTGTGGGACATACCAGGAGATAATAATAATAATAATAATAATAATAATAATAATAATAATAATAATACTTTGTTATTTATACCCCGCCCATCTGGCTGGGTTTCCCCAGCCACTCTGGGCGGCTTCCAACAAGATATTAAAAACACAAGGAGTGGGGCCTCAGATGAAGATTTAGGCACCGAGATATGTATTTGGAGAGGCATTCCAGAAGGTATCGGGTCCTGAGCCATAAAGAGCACTTTGGACTGGGCTTGGAAGGGTCCAGGCAGCCAGTGCAGCTGTAACCGAATGTGGGCACTAGCGGATCTGATCCAGTAAGGCAGTTCTAATGCAGCTTGTCAGATGCTACAAATCCCAGAATCTGGGTGGTACAAATATGAGTCAGCCTCTTCCAAACACGAAAGCTGGCAACTGGGGTGCGCTGTCTGGTTTTAAGAGGAAGATTATCCTTTGGCAACAGCTGCAAGATGATTAAGACACAGAGTGAGTGCCAGGATAATTACATTTGGGGGTCGCGGTGTCAACAACAGTTAAGAAACACAGTGAAACAAAAGGTATACATGTTGCTTCCTCTCCACATCCTGGCACAGACACGGCCACATCTAGTCCCACCAGATGCCAGGAAAACGCTCTCCTTCTGCAGACCAGTTGCCAGAACAGGGCCTGGGCTGAGGGTGACCATACTTGCGTCTGGGCCTGGAGGGAGCAGAGAAGCTGGACGGGAAAGCAAGCCCTGCTTGGCTGGCCAGATGAGGGCCAAAGGACAGGGACCTCCCAGCATTTATTCATCCCAGGCCTGTACAGTCCAGGCTGGGCTTCATGCTGCCTCCCAGACACGGGAGCCGGCGGTGGGTTTTCTGCAGGGAAAGGTCTCATAAGCTGGACTTGGCACCCCACAGCCCCAGAGAGCTCACACGCTTCTCTCCCAGCTCAAACCATGGGAATTGCTGCTGGCATGTAGCCAAAGAAGGTTCAAGCCCCCTTGCCTTGGAGAAACAAAGCCTCTCTCTGCTTTGGGTCAGAATTAGTGAGCGAGATGGCTAGGGAAAAGGCCTGAAGCATCACTCTCTGATCATGGGCTGGCCCCGTCCTCCTGGCACCCCTGCATCCCCTTCTGCCCAAGGAGTTCTGCCTTCCCCCCCACCTGCCCCCTGGGACCCACAGCTGACCTGTCCTGGCTGACCTTCCCACCCCATAAGCAGATGGATGTCTCCTGTTGAGAGCCAGTGGGGTGTAGTGGTTAAGAGCGGTAGTCTCGTAATCTGGGTAACCGGGTTCGCGTCTCCGCTCTTCCACCTGCAGCTGCTGGGTGACCTTGGGCCAGTCACACTTCTTTGAAGTCTCTCAGCCCCACTCACCTCACAGAGTGTTTGTTGTGGGGAGGAAGGGAAAGGAGAATGTGAGCCGCTTTGAGACTCCTGAAGGGGAGTGAAAGGCAGGATATCAAATCCAAACTCTTCTTCTTCTTCTTCCTGTGTTGCATGAGGGAGATGGGCTGCACCTTCTGGTGGCTTCTCCCATCTGGAGTCTTGTGCAAGGGAAACTGGTGTTTTCCTTGCAAAAGGACACCTATCACTCGGCCTTCATCCTCTTCCTCCTGCACCGCAAGCATCCACCTTCAAGGAACTGAAAGCCAAGGCGGAGGTGTGTTTGTTTGGCTGGCTTGTTGTCAGCAAACTTGCTTGCAGTCTGCTCCAGTGTGGCCCATGGTCTGCCTAGCCTGTGACCCCAGTTCAGCCACAAGCCTGGACCTCACAAGTCCATTCATTTAGAAAAAGCAAACACATTATTTGGCGATTCTGAAGAAGTGAAACTTGTGGAGAAGAGCCTGCCTTCCTGCAATTTTGCTGCTACCTGCTTGCATGAAACAATACAGAAACTTGGGGGGGGGGGTCCTTTTATTGGCCCCTGAGTCTGTGAGTCATGGAATTGACCCAGGTTCCCTATATCAGCAGGGGAAATTATGGGTTATTGTTTCTAAAGATTTCCAGGCTTTGGGGCGGCACTGCGCATAAGCCTTGCTGTCTAAAGGGTTCAGGCTGCGTTCCTCATCACACCTCTTGCTCCTGTTCTGGGTGAGGGCAGCTGCAATGCCCTCTCTTGACTGGAGAGAACTATAGGCTTGAACAGGGGCAGATGCTGGGGGTGGGGCCCCTCTGCCAATGAGACGCTTCCTTGGCAAATCCTCCCTCCCTCAGGTATTCAGAGTCCCTTCAATCCAGAGCAGGGTCTGAGAAAGCAGTTTGGCTGACCAGGACAGCTTTCAGGAGCCCCAAGTGGACTCCTGCCACCTGCTTCTTCAGAAGGCTCACGATGCCAGCCAGGCTCAGGTCCCTGGTCTGTGGGTGCCAGGCAGCCTCTGCCTCTAGAAATGGGGCTCAGGGCCAGAGACCTCCTGGGCTTTGCTTGCTGCCTGTCTGACTCTGGCATTACCTGCATGAACCCCCCCCCCCACACGCACACACCGCAAGCCATCTCTAGCAGCACCTTCAAGTCGAGACACTGACACCCCCCCCCCTGCTTCACCAGTGGGGGCTCTGGGTGCCCAGGTGGTGGAAGAAGCGCCCACCCACGGATGCCCACAGCACCAGCTCTCCCTTCTCTTGGAGACTGTGACTGCCCTTGCTCCCATGGGCACAGCCGGGGGCAGGGAGGGGCAGCTGGCCCCCTAAATCAAGTAAATAAAAATACTAACCGACCAATTATGTCACAGATGCCTCGGTTCTGCTCCCCCCCCCCAACATAAAGCCCGCCATCCCAACCTACATCCTGGCTCTGCCCACGCTTGGTGCTTCTGCTTTTGACTCTAAAGCACCAACCGTGTCCTGTAGAAGGACAACACCAAGCGAGGTCCCTGCCCCAGGAGCCTTACAGTTCAAAGACATGCTGCATTGCAGGGGATTGGACTGGATGACCCTTGAGGTCCCTTCCAACTCTGCAATTCTATGATTCTACGATCCAGTCTTGCCCTGGGATCATCTCCTGCATCCCTGGGTGTCAAGAGCCCTCCCCAGCCCAAGGAATGCACACGGAAGGCAGTTGACTATTGTCAAAGCTGACACAGCAGTTTCCACTGCTCTGAATCCCCAGGCAAACCAGCCTTGTGTCTAGGCAGCTGTACCTCACTCTGTGGAGCAGATGGTGAGGATGAGGATGATGATGCCAATCGTCGCCACTCTGGTCAGCTTCCAACAAATTTCCTTGACATCCTTCATTGGCAGCAGCAGGAAGCCATTCCCTCTCCACCTCCTTATGTCTCTTCCCCCACCTCTGCTTGCCTGGAAGCTGCCTCTGCTCTTCCCACTGGTTTTGGGGGGCAGTGGGGCAGGAGAGGGCAGGGAAGCCCCTGGCCCCTCCTTTGCCTGCCCTGCCTCTTCCCTGAGTCAGACTCCGGCTCCGCTCCCCCCCCCCAGTACCTGACTCTGGGCAAGGGGGCACTGAGGCACCTCACAGCGTTTGTGGACGCCCCCCCCCCCAAGTGGGATCACCAGGTCTTCAGAGGCAAAGGGGGAAACTGTCTTCTTAAGGGTGGTTTAAAAAACAGAAGCCACAAGACGCTCCTCCACCAGCTTATCCCCACAAAGGCAGGATTATCGCCTTCTTGACCACAGGGTGTCAAAATGTCCTCCTTTTGCCTCCTGTTGGTTTCTGGTTCTCCTTGATTTCTCTTTCCCACAGAAAGGAAGAGAGAAAAGAGTCTGAACCTGGACAAAAAGGCAGAAGAAATGAGATGGTTTAGCCCAGTGGCTCCCAGAGTGGTTGGCACCCCCCCCTAGGATTCCCAAGGGGGTGCCAGGGGGTGATGGGGGGCTGGAGGTATAAATGACCATCATCAGGCTTTCAGAAGCATCTATCACTGGATCAAGTTCATCACTTTTGTCACATTAATTAAACTACGTAACTTTAATTGGATTTTGAATAAATGTGCAATTAACTGCTACTGTTTTGAATTCTGTTGTGTTGTTCTCTTCCTTAGTGGGTCATGCAAACCACAATTCTGAACATTGCTTTTTGTAGGACAGGGTAGGGGCACCAGGAATACCTTTATGGAACCAGGGGCCGGGTGGCTGAAAAATGTCTAGGAACCGCTGGCTTCAGCCTTCCGATGGTGAGACTGCTGGGCCTTGCGGACAGTCGCTTCCCTCCCACCCCTCTGCCTCCTGGCTTCTCATCCTAATTCCTCTCCCTGGGGGAGTTTAACATCCTGGGACTCAGCAACCCCATCCCAGTCCTTGGCCCTGAGTGTGGCCAGACAGGGAGTGAGGGCAGTATTATTATTATTATTATTATTATTATTATTATTATTATTATTAACGCTGCCCCATTCTGTGTATGGAGCCCGCCCACCTCTCCTGTGCCCCACGGAGCCTGTGTGTGTGGAGTTGGCCTCCTTGGCAGGGATCCTGCCCTGGCTCTGCCAGTCCCCAGGGGTCATTCTGTGCCCAAGCAGAGCTCCTGTTAACCTAATTTTGGAGATCCTCTTAAAGATAACTCTGGATCCCTGGATTGAGCTGCTGAGGACACTTAGCTGAGAAGCCTCCCGAGTGATATTAAAATGGAGAGGTCACGAATTGCAAAGAAATCATATTTTTTTCACGCTGATGTAACCAGAAGAGCCAAGCTAGTTTTCATTTGCAAAGTAGAAAATACACAGAACCAAGCCAGAGGGCGGGGCGGGGGCGGGAACTGGATCTGACCGGGGCTGGATCTTCAGCTCCCGCATCCTCGGCAGCCCCTCTGACAGGAGGGCCAGGACCCATTTCATCTTTGCCAGCTGCTTCACTGTGACCGCGAGCCCTGCTTTGGGGGGGGGTCAGCTGCGCCCCCTTTCCCTTGCGCGATCTCCCCACCAGTCAGCTAATCCAAAGCGCCAGCAAGACTCCCACCCCGCCCCACCCCGACATCCCTAGGAAACCTGGCCTCAGGTGTGGGGCAGCAGGCCGGCAGGTGTGCTTTGCGGAGACGGGGACCAGTCCGAAGGGCTCCTCGCTCCGGAAGGGGCAGGCCTGGCCACTAAGCGGGGTGGGGAGCGGGGCTACCGGCGAGGATGGGGGGGGGGGTCTCTTGGGGAAGAAATGAGCCGCGCAGACCCCCCGGCCAGGAGTCCCTCGTTTGCGGCTTGTCTCTTCGGACGAGGCGACCAAATCCCTGGCCAGCCCTGGAGTCCAGGCGCCCTCTAGTGGGCGGCGCAGGCCCTGCAGGCAGGAACCCCGAAGGCGCCCTCGACGGGGGATTCTCCCCGGTTTCTCCGACTCCCCCCGTCCCCGCGGCGGGGAGGGGGTCGTCAGCGCAGAGAGACCCAGGGCGGCCCGTGGGAGCTTGGGGGAGGTGTGACCCCGGACGGCCATCCCGTTCTCCCGGGCGGCCCCAGCCAGTCAGTGGCGGTCTTGGATGCCCCGCCCCGTCGCGGAAGGAGCCTCCAGAGGCTTGGCCAGCCCGGGCAGCGCCCAGGGGCCGGGAGGCTGGTATTTAAGCCGCGTCGGACGGCGCGGGGAGGCAGTTTGCTACTGCTGCTGCTGCTGCGGGTCATATATCGCGGAGGCGCCCGGAGCCGGAGCCGTCCAGGAGAGCCAGCGCGCCGTCCAGCTCACCGTCGAGGATTCCCGGGAAACTCTCGCCGCTCCGAAGGAACGGGCAGCCCGAGCTCCACCAGCCAGAATTGCACCCGACGGCGGCACTGGAGCCAAGCGGCTCCCGCGCGAGGTAGCGCCCCCCACCGGATCCTCGCACCCTGGAGCCCTCGGCGCCGCCATGAAGCGCCCGCTGCGCCGGGAGCCCGCTTGCATCAGCCGCTGTCGCCTCCTCCTCTTCCCGCTCCTCCCGCTGCTCCTTCACCTGCCGGGCGCCGAGTCCGCCTCGCCCGCCCCATCGGGGCGCATCTCGCCGCTGTCGCCCAGGTGAGTCCCCGTCGGAGAACTCTCCTCCTGCTCCGTCCCCTCCAGGGAGGGCGAAGGTCGGCAGCCGTGGGGTGGGGGTGGGGTGGGTGTTTTGGAGCCTGAAATGGGGCCGAGAGGTGACCGGAGCCCTTCCCCGACGGAGGCCGCCTCAAAGCGGAGCGGAGAGGCCCGCCTGCTCACCCCCATTTCATGTCCCCTGGCAGAGAGAGTGGTGGGGCGTGTGGGGAGCCGCTGAGCTGTCAACTTTTCCCTTTTCTTGCGAGGAATCCTATTCGGAATAAGGGAATTTCCCTTAAGAAAAGGGAATGCCCCTCCCTCGCCCCTGCCAGCTGGGGCGGAATCCCTCTTTGCCCTTCGGGAGGGGCGTGCAGTCCAGTGGAAGGGAGTTCCAGGGACCGGCCCGAGAACCGGCTTCTTTCTCTGGCAGAGGAGCGACCCCCGCCATGGCCGAACGTGTCCGGGAGCCGCCGCGGTGGGGCAGGGAGTTGGGGGGGGGCTCCAGGAGTTACTCTTGGGAGAATTGGGTCGCGCCTGTTGGGATCAGCCTAAAGAAAGACCCTTTGCTCGCCCCCAGCCCTTCCATTCCCCACAGCAGCCCGGAGCTCTCGCCTAAAATAGGGGTGGTGGTCGGGATACCCCCAAATATGCTCAGATGGGAAGGAAGGAATCCCCTTCCCCTGGATTTTGGGGGCTGCGCTTTTGGCCTGGGCTGGAATGGGGGTGCCAGCCTGCCACCCGCTTCAGCCCTGCGAGGATCTCCTTTCAAGCTCTGCGACAGCAGACAGAGGCAAACCTCCGCTAGGCGGTTGTAACAGCCCTGAGACCTGCGGGTTTGGGGCGGCATACAAATTTAATAAATCATCATCTCCAGAAAACACGCAAGGCGCAGATGAGATAGAAGCCATGGTAAAGCAGCAGTAACCATCCTAGAACCCTGGAACTGTGGAGTTGGAAGGGTCCCGAGGGTCATCTAGTCCAACCCCTCGCAATGCAGGAATCCTGCCCACAGCCATCCCTAGGTGGGCTTGAACCACTAACCTTCTGGTTAACAGCCAGACGCACTGGCCCATTGCGCCATGATGAAGACGTCCTCTCTGTCGTCCCAGCAGGAGGATGTGTCCCCTTTAGCAAGGAATTGAGCTAGTGTAGAGCTCCCATTTGTGAAAATGTTTGGCAAAGGAAGCTCTCTAATAGCCACACAAACCCAGAGCGCACATACAAGCAGGCACATGCGCACACTTGCCTAGGGGTTCCGTTGACAATGAAGCAGTATATAAATGTTGTTAAATAAATTCTATATACAGTTGAATATGTTGCCTGGGAAAATGCCTGCCTGCTAAGAGAGAGGGCAGCTTAAGGAAGCAAGCCAGGCTATACACTGATTGGGATACCTCTCTGTGAAAAGGGGGTGGGTGCGCAAACGAGACTTATGCAGGGAGGGGGCACATGGCAGAGAAAATGGGTTTGGGCGAGCTGGGCCTTAACGCAAGTACAGGGGGAGAGAGAGAGAGAATTGATCCCTGCTGTGAGTGTCTGGGTCCTCAGAAGTTGCTGACTGCCCAGCTGGCAACTGTGTGACTGTGGCATGACTTGACACCTTTGGGTGCTTCAACTCCAAGCACCTGGGCAGTAAGAGCATTTCTGTCAGCCAGGCATGGAGCAGCTGAGTGGGTGAAGGTTCAGGCCGAAGGGGGTGGTCAGGCACTCAGGGCTGGATGTCTGGCTCGTCACCTGACCATCGGATGGCTGGGGGGAAGTGACCCTGAACCGGAGTTGCCCCTGAGCCAAGGCAGCGGAAGGGCAGGCAGGGGTTCAGCGGGCATCGTTTGGGCTCCGCAGAGCTTGGAGCAGGAGGGCTGGGCACGCTGCTGGCTGCGCTGTGGACTAGAGCTGTTGGCTCTCCCGCTGGCCAGTGGGCAGGCTGCCAGTCCCTGCAGAGAAGGATGGAGGGTTTTTGGCCAAGGCTCTTCTGCTGCTGTTGAAAATACAGCTCCAGGAAGTGTGTTGACACAGTGGGGGTGGGGAGACCCTGCAGACCTTTGACCACTGCAGCCCACGAGTTCTGCTCAGAGGATGGGGGTAGGGGGCAAGGCATTGGGGGGGGGCTGGCTTCTGTGTCTTGCTCCCTCCTCTGTCTGTTAGCCAGGGGATGGGGGCATCCAGCTGTTTGCTTGGGACCACAGCTGGGCAGTATGCCAGCATCTTCTCTGGTCCCTCTAGCCCCTGCTCCAGTGCTAAAGGGGGTGAGCAGCAGGTGGAAGCCCAGGGGATGAATGGGAGCCCAGCTGAACCATCGCTCCCCTCAGCCATGCAGCACTTGGGAGCCTGGAGATGGAAAAGCAAGCAAGGCTTCCATGAAGGCGGGTGGAACAGCTCCCTAAGCCAGAGAAGGCCCTGGTCACCACAAGCGCCTCCTGCCTCCTGCTGTGTTTGCCCAGCATTCAGCTGTGATGCAACTGTTGTCTTTGGTTTCGGCCCTCAATGGCAGAGCAGGATGGGGAATGAATTACAGCCCCACCTGCCCTTCCTCCAGGGAGACCCACATCGTCCCAACAGTCCTGTGAAACAGAACAGCCTAAGGGAGAGAGACTGGTTCAGGGTCAGCACAGCCAAGCAGAGATTGGAACTGGAGTCTTCCCAGCTGAAAGACAAACTTTTATTGAGGCACCTACTGCGAAGTGCAAATTATGATTTTTGGCTTAGGTTTGTGGCTCCCCTACAGGCTTCCGGCTGTTGCATCAGCTCCTGTGGCATTTTTCCTATTCAAGCTAATGGCAAGAGATGCTGCTTTGCCTGCACCCCATCCAGGGATGGCAGGAAACGCTCATTTGTGGCAGATGGAATCTGCCCAGAGTACCAGGGCAGTTTCCATCAAGGCTGATTCAAGGCTAAGCAACAAGGAAGTACTGGGCAGAGGGCAGATGAGAGAGTAGGAACTGCAATGAGCAAAGCAGGGGGACATCTCAGGCAGCGGAGGCATTTCACACCTGGGAGGATGGTGTCAGGAGGGTTAACGCCCAAGATGAGTGGAAGGGCTGCAGAGGACAGGTAGCTGGCAGACAGGCTTGTTTGAGCAGAGTATTTCTATCACCCCACTTTGCCACACAGGATGGCTTACAATATAGGTGTTTTTTTTTAATCCAAAACAATTACCAAAGTCATGGTCAGCAGTTTAAAAATCATATTTGGTTGTGACTAAAACAAGGAATGAATCACCTCTCTCTCCGTGTGTTTTGTGTGTGTGTGTGTGTGTGTGTGTGTGTGTGTGTGTGTAAGGAAGGTATGGGTGTTTATGTCTGGAGGTGGGCAAATGTTGTCTGTCTGCAAAAGGGAAGAGGGGAGTGTCTCCAAAAAATACTGGTCAATACAAGATGAGTAAGAGGTCAGCCTGTGGCCATCTAGAAAATCTTTCTTCTTCGGCGATCCCTCGTAGCCGTGTAAGATGGTCTTCCATAAAAACAGTTTTAACAATGAGTCTGTAAGTGACTGTGGAGACTAATTCTGGATCCACGCTTCCTTCCACAGTGGGGACATTGGTTTCCGGGCGGGATGACTAGGAGCCAGAATGGGTTGATCAACTGTATGGCTTGCAAGACCAACCTTCTCTCCTGTCATTTTGTCTAGAGTGACTAGTCTGGTTGCTTTATCTTCAATGAACATAGTATATCTTGATTTCAGCAAAACATTTGACAAAGTGTCTCCCACGTTATCTTGTTGACAAGTAGGTAAAATAGAGGCTGGAGAACACTCCTTTCAGGTGGATCTAAAACTGGCTGGGCAGCTGTGCCCACTGAGTGCCCACGATGAGTGGCTCTGTGTCGGCCGGCTGGGAGGTCTTGAGCTGAGTGCCGAGGGACACTGTCCTGCTCAGCATTCCTTTAGATTACTTGGCGTCTGGAGGATGCTGATGCCAAGCTGGGAAGGGGATGAGGACCTCAGAAAACAAGAGTACAGGTTCAAAAGATCTTGACAGGCTGGAAAACTGGGCTGAAACCAACAGAATGAAAACCTACAGTGATAAATGTAGAGTCCTGCATGTAGGTGCAAAGTAGGGATGGCTCTGTGCTCTTGGGCTCTCAAATTTCAGTGGTGCAACAATAAAATTTGGCGCCCCCTGTGGCGCCAACACCCAGTGGGGCAGAACCAGTTGAGCTACCCTAAAACCACTTCTGTGCAAAGAATCAGAGTCACTAGTATAGGATGGGGAAACCAAGTGTGCAGAAACGATCTCGGGGTCTTAGTGGCTCCCAAACCGAAGAGAAGCCGGTTGTGTGATGTGACAGCTCAAAAAGCTGATGCAATCCTAGGCTGCATTTGCAGAAGCAAACATCTCTCACACACACGCCCCACAGGCCAGAGGACCAAGGCCTCTGCAGAGCCAGGCAGTCATCACACCCAGCTGCAGCTGTGCCAGGCGCCCTCACTTGTGGAGGGGAGAGGCAGCTCCTCCTGTCCTGTTACCTGAAACTGTGGTGACGGTTTGGAGAGAGGCTTTTGAACCTGGCCTGTGTGTGGGCTACGGGCCTTTGATGCAGCTGGCCTCCGCTCCCTCCTTGCTGCCTGCCTGCCAAGCGTACGTGTCCTGTGGCAGGTACAGCTCCCTTGCCTTGCCTGCGCTCCTCCCCGCCTCCCGCCCTGCTCCTTCCCTCTGGCCATCTCTCAGTCTCTCCCGCCTCCTCCCCTCCTCCAGACCAGTTCCTCTTCCCTGGTGGAAGGAAGCTGGCATCCTTCTCCATGCCCCAACCTGACACATGCTCTCTCCTCTCCTCATTCATTCTCCCCCCCCCCCCGCCCCATCCTGCTTCTCAAATGGAAAAGGTGGCTCGGCAGGTTGCGTCAGGGCTAGGCCACACATAGTTTCTCTTGTGGTCTGGAAGAGATGGTTGCCGCCACCCAGAGAGACGTGCTGGCCGTGATGCCTCTCCAGGCAGCCAAGGCCGAGGGGCCTGGCCTCACGGGGGACCAAACAGAGGCCGTCCAAGGTCCTCAAGGAGGGACTGCTGGGGTTAGAGGGAGCTTCTGGGCTCAGCTCACGAGTCTCTTCACGACTGGTGCAGAGCATGGCCCTCAAGAGATGACCCCCCCTTGCTGTGTCCTGCCACAGAGGTGGGGGGCTGCCCTTCCTGGAACCACTGTCTTCCTATGAGGATGGCAGGCAGGCAGGTCTGCCTCTGCTCAGTTACAAAGGCCAAGAGCTGAGCTTTTAACAAGCATCTGTCAAAAGCAAAAGCCGAGGTTGAAGTCTACCAGTTTCAAGCAATGAAATGTTGCTTCATTTAAATGTGTCAAATATTCCTTCTGCCCCAGCCGACTTTTTGCCTCATTGATCTGACAAGGGCCATAGTTCATGGACAGAGCACCCGCTCCACATGCAGGGCCCAGGTCCAATCCGCAATGGCTGCGCATGGACCTTGCCTGAAACCCTGGAGAGCTGCTGCCAGTCAGTGCGGACAGTACTGAACCAGATGGAGCAGGGCTCTGACTTGGAATTCGGTGGCTTCCAAGGTTCCCAGCAGGACGTGGGCAGGGGGACCTGTCCCTGGACTGGGTGGGAGCTCATCTCCCCACCCAAAAGGGGGCTCTGCCCCTGCTTCTCCTCTGATCTCATTCAGGATCTGGGTCCCCCACAGAGAGGATTGGGGGGGAGCCCTTTAAAAAGCAGCTTCCTATTACAGTAATTGAGTCTGAGAGAAAACCCAAATACAGAACATTAAGTTTTTAAATGGGAGTGAGTGGAAGAGCTGCAGTTGTCTCTGAGAATGGCAGCCATCTCCAATGGCCTGGGAGGCTGGCATGTCTATTGGCCATAAAAGGACACAGCAGGGAGAAGGGGACACAAGTCACAGCTATACAAGTGTACACATGTGCGCGCATGCGCGCGCGCACACACACACACACACACTCACACACAGCAAGGGTGCCCATCGTCCCACACTCTGCACAAGCTCCACACACAAAGACCAAGTCATATTTTCTGACTGCCAGTAGCAGACCTCACACGATTTTCTCCAAGAAAGATACCCAAGACTGTTGTCCTATGCCTGGATGCTTGAGAGCGAATCACACTGAGCAAAGTGGACTTTAGGAGGGAACAGTCTGGTTTTCTTGTCTATGACATTGGAGGCAAAAGGGTCTTTCTCAGGCAGCCCATTCTCAAAAAAGCGCATGTCCCAAACTGCCTTATTCCTGCTGCTGTTAGGATGGAGGGGGATCCCCAGCCAGAGCCCTGAAACTCAGTGGGGTTGTGGAGATGGAGATTCCTTTGGGCTATAGGAAAATTCGCCTGGGGTGCGAGGCTTGCCCTTCTTTGACCCTGTCTCACGTGTCCAGTGCCAACCTGATGCACCTGGCGGGAGGCTCTGGCAGTGGGGTCTTCCTTGCTGACCTTCAGGGCTAGCCAGGTCCTGGAGACGCCCATGAGCGCCTCCAGGTGAGCACCTGACAAGCTGTTTAGGGGTTGGAAGGCAACCATGAGTACTTTGAATTGGGCCTGGCACCACAGTGGCAACCCTCAGGTTTCTCTCCCCGAGAGGCTTCGCTGCACACCCACCCAAATATGCTGACCCAGATCTGCAGCCTCCCCCACAAAGCCCTCTTCTTGAGTCAGGCTGGGCCTTTGTCTGTGCTTCTTCTGCTCTGACAGGCCTCACTCTCACCCTGCCTGGACCATCCCATGGAGAGGCAGACTCACCTGTGACGAGCACTCCTCCTCCACGAGAAAGAAGTGTGAGCGCAGTTTCTGGGCAAGGGCAGCCAAGCCATTTCAAGCAACATTCCATGAGCCAGCCCTGCGAGGGCACATGCCGGCTCTGGGCCTGGGCAGTGCAGAAGTAGGTGTGGCCCCTGCACCCCCAGGGACCACACAGGCGGTTGGGGGGGAGGCGGCTCTGATCCCCCTATAAACAGGCTGTGGCTGCTCCGTGAGTATTTGTGCTCCTGCTCCAACATGCCTCTTTCCCTCCTGCTGCCAGCGGAGGGCGAGGGCTCATGGCACCTCTTCCACCCTCTCGTTGCAGGAAGCCCTGGGCTAGAAGCCACCCACCAGCCTGGCTGCGGAAGAGGCTGACGACAGAAGAGCTTTCGGACAAGATGGCCAGAATGTGGCCGGCCTGGAAGCCTCCCGTGGTGACGCCAGGAAGCCGCCTCCACCTCTCCGTCCTCCCCAGGCGCAGACTGGATCCCCAGCAGCCTGGCAGGCCCCCCCAGCACCGGCTCCCGTGGACTCCAGCCCCCCGTCCAAAGCGCCAGGCAGCCCCCCGCCTGCACCGCGCGCAGCTGATGCGTGTCGGCTGTGCCCTGGGCACCTGCCAAGTGCAGAACCTGAGCCACCGGCTCTGGCTTCTGAAGGGCCAGTTGGGACTTCAGGAATCCGCCCCCATGAACCCCAGCAGCCCCCACAGCTATGGGTGAGGGAAGCAACGGACTCCAGGACCGGAGAGGGTCTCCTGCCTTCCCCCTGGCACATCTCGGAGCAGCTGCTCTGGACTCTCTGGCAGTCTGGACCAGGGTTTCTGCACCGAAGGGAATCCCCCCTGCTGGAGGGGACCGTGAAGAAGCAACCAGGGCCCAAGCCCTGACTAGAGCCGGCTGAGGGGTGTCTTGGCCATCTGATGGAAAGGAGCAAAGCAGCCGCCCCAGACCCCCCTGCAGGAGAGGCGGGTGCATATGAGGGCTGGAAGGACTGTGCACAAGGTTACACCAAACACAACTCCCACACTTGCACTTGTTATGGAAAATAATAAACATCTAAGTGATGGTCTTTCTTTTGCCAAGAGTTTTCATATGCATTTGGGGGTGGGCCTGAGGCCATGCCCATTTCTACGAAGAAGTACCCCTCACAGTAAAAAGAAATGCCAGACTCCCCTCCCCTCCGGGTGTCCCTTGAGACTCGAGAAAGGCAGTCAGCCCAAGAGCCAAACACCCATCGAAGCAAACTGAAGGATGTGAGAGCAAGACAGCCTAGACCACCTTCCTTTTTATTTATTTATTTATTTATGCAATGTATTTCCACGTTGCTCTTCCATAAAACAACAGGGGGGTGTACAGCAATAAAATGTAAACCATTTTAAAATGTGGAAGTTCCCGTGTGGGGGGCCACAGCCAGGGACGGATTGAGGTTTGATGCGGCCCTCAGCTCCTGAAGGTAATGGGGCCCTTTCTATGTCCAGCTGTGCTTTGTCAACAACAAATTGTCGCTGTTTTTTGAGTTGAATATATGCTATATGGTCATTGATGGACCTAACAGGTATCTCAAGCCATTTGCACATGTTGCCAGGCAACCAGTCCATGCAGAATGGAGGCACCCTATATATAGGTAAAGGTAAAGGGACCCCTGACCGTTAGGTCCAGTCGCGGACTGGGGTTGTGGCGCTCATTTCACTTTACTGGCTGAGGGAGCCAGTGTTTGTCCCCAGACAGCTTCCAGGTCATGTGGCCAGCAGGACTAAGCCGCTTTTGGCAAACCAGAGCAGCGCACTGAAACACCGTTTACCTTCTCGCCACAGCGATACCTATTTATCTACTTGCACTTTGTGCTTTCAAACTGCTAGGTTCTCAGGAGCTGGGACAGGGCAATGCGAGCTCACTCCGTTGCGGGGATTTGAACCGCCGACCTGCTGATCGGCAACCAAAATGGTCAATGGTCTGGAAGCGATGCCTTATGAGGAACGGCTAAGGGAGCTGGGCATGTTTAGCCTGGAGAAGAGGAGGTTAAGGGGTGATATGATAGCCATTCAAATATAAAGGATGTCACATAGAGGAGGGAGAAAGGCTGTTTTCTGCTGCTCCAGAGAAGCGGACACGGAGCAATGGATCCAAACTACAAGAAAGAAGATTCCACCTAAACATTAGGAAGAACTTCCTGACAGTAAGAGCTGTTCGACAGTGGAATTTGCTGCCAAGGAGTGTGGTGGAGTCTCCTTCTTTGGAGGTCTTTAAGCAGAGGCTTGACAACCATATGTCAGGAGTGCTCTGATGGTGTTTCCTGCTTGGCAGGGGGTTGGACTCGATGGCCCTTGTGGTCTCTTCCAACTCTATGAGTCTAAGTCCTAGGCTCAGTTGTTTAGACCAAAGTGCCACCCGTGTCCCTACCCTATATATAGAAAGGAGCAAAGCAGTGATATTTGAGGGAGAGGCTAGCAGGCGGGGCCCATGACTTGCATCATAGGAGCCCACACAACACAAAACACTGTTGCTGTATGTAAGTTTGATTTTATTTGTTTTTTATCTTATATTTTGGAAATGTGCACCCGGTTTCTCCACCCTTTTTTGGGGGGGGTGTCCCAGGAGAGGGGGGCCCTAAGCTAGAGCTTGTTGAGCTTAGACGTAACCCCCCCTGGGGAGCAGGCTCTGGGCGGGGGGCTGGCCTGTCCGCCCGCGGGGCAAGGGGGAGACCCCCTCCCGGAAGGGCCCCCCCATCTGCTCGCCCCCCTTCCCAGGCGGAGGGAGAAGCGCCGCCCCGAGGGGACCCCCAGGGGCCATCCAGTCCCGCCCCGGCCAGGCCAGAGCTCCCAGGGGCCGGCGGGCCACCAGCTGCAGCGCAGGGCCGCCCCCGGGGGAAGAGGACGACGCCCGCCTCTCTCCGCCCGGACCCCGGAGGGACTCCTCGGCGACGGGGCTTCGGGCCAGACTCCGGAAGTGCGTCATCCCCGCGCGCCCCGGCGGGAAATTCAAAGCGGAGGCGGCGAGAGCGACCCGCACGAGGCTCCCTTCCCCCCCGCGCTCTTCCCCGGCTGCTGCTCCCCCGGAGCCGGGCGCCGAGAGGCCAGCGCTGCCTTCCCTGGAAGACCCGGCCTCCCTGCCTCGGTCTCTCTCGCCCGGCTTCCCTCTCGGCCCGATGGCGCAGCGGCGAGGGGTCTCGGCCGAAGAAGCCCGGCGGCCGAGGAGGAGCGCGGCGTAAGTAGCCCCCGGAGGGCCAGGCCCGGAGCGCGAAGCCCGCCTGGTCAGGGGCCCCTTCAAGCGGGGAGGAGGTCGGCCCCTTCGGGAGAATAGGAATATCGGGGGGGAAACGCCTCTACGTGGCTCCGGAGAAATGCTAAACTAATGAAGAGGAGGCGTTAGAAGCAAGTAACCAACAGCATTGAAAGGATTAAGCACATTCATAGCACAGATTAACTAAAAAAATATATATCACATTTATTATGTTATTTGAATGTTCTTTTGGAGATATGGCCCAAATTCCATTGTCTGCGTTAGGCTGGGGTGTCTTATTTTATGTGTGTATGGTATGTTGCAACAACCCAATAAAAAGTAGAAAAAGAAATTGAAATATAACGACATCTATGTGTTTTAACCCCTTTTTGACGCCTTTAAATCTTTTAAGTAAATAGTGTTCAGTGGCATGAAGACATATATAGATGCTCTTCTGAAGAGAACTGGAATTGTGAATAAAACATGGTTGCCAACCCTGGAAACAACCCTGGAGTAATTTCACTCTTACTCTTGCCTTTCCGTGTTGAAGATGAACACCTGGAGCACGAGAAGAGCTGCTACTCCAGGCCAAAGGGTCCACCTGGTTTAGCCCCCCTCTTCTGCCAGTGGCCCCCCAGATGCCCCAATGGTGGAAGCCCCTGGGCAGAACCCAAGAGCCCTCTCCCCATTGGTGATTCCCAGCAACTGGTATTCGGAAGCATCGCTGCTCCAACAATGGAGGCAGAGCATCATCATTGTGTCTCATAGCCATCGATAGCCCTCTCCTGCTCCATGAATTTGTCCAATCCTCTTTTAAAGCCATCTAGTCTGGTGGCCATCACTGCCTCCTGTGGCAGGGAGTTCCAGAGTTTAACTGTGCTGTGTGAAGAATCTTCCAATATTCAGCTTCCTTGGAGGGCCCAGAGTCCTGGGGTTGTGAGAGAGGGAGAAGAACCTTCCTCTGCCCCCTTTCTCCAGGCCATGCATGATGCTGTGTACTTCAGTTTCCACGCTTAGTGTTTCCTTCACCTGGCTGTAAATTCAAACAGCCTTTTGACTTCCAACACAGACGGGCAGCGGCATTGAGTTCTGATGCCGCACTGAACCTGCAGGCTCTTGAGAGACTCGCTCCCAGTCCTGAGGAGAGAGTCATCCACCAGAGCACTTCATAGCGAACCCATTGAAAAGCAGCCAGTCTCCCATCCTAAATTGGAAATGTCAGAACATTGTGTGCTCCCTGCCATATGCCACTGCAGTGAAGACTTTTGGTCAAAGCTTCTTTCTGTGCATTTAGAATATGGCTGTGCAATGGCAAGCCACTTTCCTTTTTCTGTTGTCTGCTTTTCAGCTCCACGAGTTCAGGCAGCGATGACGAGTTTGAAAACTGTAAGTAAAAGCTAATTTCCTCAGTGGGTCTAAAGATAAGTTATAGCACAAAACCCCCCTCAGAAAAAGCTACTTGTGTAGAAAAGAGAAGAAGAGGAGTTTGGATTTGATATCCCACTTTATCACTACCCGAAGGAGTCTCAAAGCGGCTCACAATCTCCTTTCCCTTCTTCCCCACAACAAACACTCTGTGAGGTGAGTGGGGCTGAGAGACTTCAGAGCAGTGAAGCCCGGGGAAGGAGTTACCCTCTTTCGCCGGGTTGCACCAACCCAGAAACCTTTTCCTATGTACTGATAGGTTCCCTTTCCATTACACATTTGCTCTCAACTAAAACTGGTTCTTCTGTTGCCTTTGGGGTTAACCTGGTCCCCAGCTTTTTTTTTTTTTTAAATAAATTTTTATTAAAAGTTTCAAAAGTTTTTTATCACAACAAAAACAAAACAAAACTATACAATAAACAAAACAAACATAAAAACACGTATAATTTCAACCCTTAATTTCTTATATCTTTCTTTCTCGACTTCCTCATACCTCCCCTTTCTGTATTCCAATTTCTAATTAATTGTTCAGCAAATCCTTCCCTTAATTTTGACTTAATTTTAATCTTACTTTTTCTCTTTAACTTATCCATTACCGCTAATAACCACATGTTTTCAAATCCAGCGTCATTTTAACAATCATTGATTTTGCTGGTCCCCAGCTTTATTGGGGTGCAGGGAGGCCTGTGTTTTCTTCAGACTGCTGCACTGTCAGCATCTCTTCTCACCCACCGAAAAGCATTTCTTCCCTTGACAGTCGGTCCTCTTTCTGCCATGGACCAGAGTCTCTTGGCCAAAGGTTTCTTCTCTTCTGTTCCGCAGCTTCTGGGGTGAAGCCCTTTGCCAGGCAGGCAGGCAGATTCCCTTTCCCTTGAGCTCCGTAACAGATGCCACCTAACATTGAAACGCAGCACAACCTCTGAGTAGGACTTGGTGGGATGCCACCCCAGCACCTCAGGAGGGCAGGCTCTGTGTGTAGCATCAGGTGGGGGGGGGCGGCTCAGCAGCAACCTGCCACCTGCTTCTGACTAATTGTGGGTCAGTGGATGGGAGGAGGAGGAGCCCGTCTGTAAAGGCGAGTGAGCCTGACAGTTTAACCTGTGACTCGTCTCTGGTGGGTCCTCCTGGGTGCCCCAGAGCCCTGCTTAAAAACACTGTATATAAACAGCCAGAAGAATCCCAAAATCAGATTTCTTCAGCGTCTCCTTTGAGGTCTTTCTGCTGGGATCAGCTTCATGCTGGCATCTGAGCCCCTTGAATGTGGACCCTGTTTGTTCCTTCATCCCTGGTTTCATTTCAACGCTGGCTAGTTTTTGAAGCTGCCACCTTTGTGGGCTTTAGAAGAACAGATTTCAGGAAACAAAAAAAAAAGTGACATTTCTCCCCCTTTCATGGTTTTGACTTAGTTTTATCTAGAATGAAGAC